GGGGCAGGGTCACCATCTTGCTCCCCCTCCGGCTTGTTTGTGCGTGGTAGCTGTGACCCCCTCTCCCTCCGGCCTAGTCCACTCCCTCCCCACGTCGGGACGGCCCCCCTCGACCGGGCCCTCTTCCTTTGCTCGTCATCTTCTTGCTGGAAAGGGCCCGAATTTTCTTTCTCCTTTTCCCACCTCTGTGGCATTCTGATTACTTACTCCCCCCCCCTTTTTTTTCTTTTTAAAGATAGAGGTGCTCTCTCTGGATTAGTTTTATCCTCTTCTTTTCCCCAGAGTACCAGGCTCAGGCATAGACGTTGTCCTTTGAGAATTTTCTCTTTTTTTGCTGCTCAAGGGCTTCTTGCAGGGAGGGGGCGGTGGGCAGCGATTCCCATTTTAAAACTCTTGTGGCTAAGATCAGCGGGGATTCCCATCATCTAAAATATTAACACTTGAGCTTTGTTTATTGGCGTTAAATTCCTATACTGGACACTACAAGAATGTGTCAGGACAGATACCCTGTGTGAGGGGCGTCAAACCAAAATACTGCACTCACTCTAAACCACTGGGAGAGAGCAAAAGACATAACTGAGTTAACCATTCATTTCACCATATTTAAAAGTGTCATCGTGAGTCTTTTATCTGTGAAAATTCTGTGTTTTTGATTTTATGTATCCATCTGCTGATTCCAAACACACGGGAGGAGGGGGTGGTTAGTTTCCCTTGTAAATTAAGTGTATCAGAGTTAGATGGTTTACTCTGGAAGGTACTGGATTTTAGAAACTATTGAACTTGTACACATAGTCCTACTTATTAACTATAGCCATTGTCTGTTGCTCCGATGACTTTAGTTGGCATTCACCACCCTGTAGGATGTTTTTCGGATCTTACCTGACGTAGTTTAGAAATGACAGTTTTTGGGTGTCAGAAAGAAGAGACAGTATCAAGAGATGATTCTTAGAGCTGGGATAACGTGGGTGCTAAAAATAGTCAAGACACTAAAACCATTTGGGCAGTAATCCTCAGATAATTTTCCATGAAACAAATGCTTTAGCAAAATCTAAGTTTAGCTTAGAGAGTGATGTAGAGGCAATTCATCCTTTCTTTTGCAAGGGATATATACACAGATACAAGCTTTGGCTCTTAAAATTACATGATAGTTATATAAGAGATGTATGCTATCCTTGGCATTTTTTTCTCATTCAGCATCAAAAGTACTTAATGCTTTTTGTGTTTTTCAGATTCTCTGAAGTTACACCCATCACAGAATTTTCATAGAGCTGGACTATTGGAAGGTCAGCAAAGTGCCATTTTAAAGCATATTGTGTTAGTGTGCAAAGGCTTTCTCTGAAATGCAATTTAAATGGGAAAGCGTGAAACTTTGCAAACTCACACAATGTAATTTTCTACTAAAGAGCCTGATCCTTCTTTTAGAGCAGCTAAATGTTTCAGATTTTGTTGCTGCGTTTGAAGTGCTTGTTGGCTGTTGTATCTGCTTTGAGAGGCTGTGAAAAAAAAAAACAACCCATAAAAAAATCATTTTAATTATGTGTTTGATGTTCTACTTTAGAATCCTGGATCTTAATTCTATCCTTTTTATACTCAAACTGAATATGAAAAGGCTCAAGCATTAAAATGGTGAATTAATAACTAAAAGACTGACACCAAACACATACTTAGTATTTTGAATTTAGAACTTTTGTATGTTGAACATTTCAAATGGATGTATGTATTTACAGAAACGTTGATCTTGTTACGATTGCATTATATTTAAGGATAAGAAAAGCTGAGTAGGGCTGAGGCTGTAGTGACAGAGTGCCTAGCATGCAGAAAGCCCTGGGTTCAAACCGCAGTATATCAAAGAAAAAGAAAAAAGCTAAGTAATAGATGATGAGTACACTATATTAGGGTAAAAACGCTTTAGAATGTTCTGGAAATGTTAAAATCTGTAGAATGAACAACTGACAATTTAGAAAACTTGGTTTTATCATTTAAGACAAAATATATTTTTTCTGTGGACTTTATAGATTTCGTACTACCTTTTCTTAATCTTATAATCATGGAATTGGACAGCAAGGACATTAATTTTTCTATTGCAAAAATAAAATTAAGAAGGGCAGGGGATTTAATTCAATGGCACTGCACCTGGCTTGCAAGCACCAGGTCCTGAGTTCGATCTCCGGTACCCAAAAAATAAATAAAATTAAGAGATTAGGTTTGCAGATTCCCTCAGTAGCAGAAACAATCCTTTCTGTTTTAGTTAATGTTCCTTACCTCTAAAGGCAAGCTACCATTATGAAATATATATAAAACCAGTGACTTAAACATTTTATGGTTCACTTAACAGAGCCCCTAACTAGTTAAGTTTGATTACAGTATGTTTTTGCTTCTCATAAAGGTAGTCTGGGTAGGGGGAAAGTGGATCTTGTAATTGACTTTAAGTTTGACTACCAGTTTAGCGATTTAGTAGCTCTGTGACCTTGGGCAAGTAATTTTACTTCCTTAAATGTGTATATTCTATGTATAAAATTAGGTATCTCAAGTTTAGTGAGCTAAGGTATATAAAGTTCTTATGGTGTCTAGTTTAATAAATTTTTTTGCTTTAATGTCAGCAAAATTGTTTCAACAGTATAATTTAGACCATATAAAAGATTCTCAATTAATTATTATGTTTGTTCATCTAAGAAGCCTTAGCTTTACATTACTATGAAAGTAAAATATTTTTATAACTGCAATCTGACGAGAGAGATATTTAGAAGTATTTCTCAGTGAAGCAGATTTTTAGTTTGTTTTTGTTTTTGGTACTTGGGATCATCGAACTCAGGACCTCTTGCCAGGCTACTGCTGAGCTACATCCCCAGCTCTTGTTTTTTTGTTTTTGAGACAGGGCCTCACTATGTAGTTCAGACTGGCCTTGAACTCACTATGTAGCTCAGGCTGATCTTAAACTCTCAGTGATCCTCCTGCTGCAGCCTCCTGAGTGCTTGGATTACATGCACCACCATGTCCAGCCAGATTTCTGGTTTTTATTCTTATTGTTCAATTTGTAATCATGTTGTAGATTCATTTGTGGGTATCATCCTATTTCCTGGGCAACAGACCAGAATGTCATAATCACAGAGAACATCAGGCCAGAGAAAGACATGAAAAAAAAGTGTTAACTATTGAAATAAATTTTTTAGTGAGTTGATGGAAACACAACTGTTTATTATGCATATTTATGTATTTGTGCCTGTATTTGCTGATTTTCATTTTCGTTGAGAGGATAGTAATTTAAGATCATCCTTTTATAGGTTATACATAAAATGCAAAAATATGTAAGTATCAAGTATGTCCTGTCCCCTTTGAATTTTTGACATAAGGTGTCATATCAAAGGTGTTTGTTTAATGAAGTATTTAAACTATGCCACCCTGTTGTTATTTTTTATCCTTAATAATTTGGACATTTTAAAGAACACATGATAGTGGAGAAAATAAAACAGTGAATCCCCATACCCATCACCAAGCCTTAGCAATTACCAGTATGATCTTGTTTCTTTTATCTCTTCCTCTCCCTCCAACTGGATCATTTTAAAACAAATACAAGACGTCATAGCACATTTCACATGTAAATACTTTTTTGTTTTAGTCACTTTTTTTTTTTTTTTTTTTTTTTTTT